ACTTTATATAAAATTCAGAAAATACTTATTGCCCTCCATATCAAAGAAATTGGGAGCAGGAACAAGATGGAGACATCGAGGAGTGCCAAAGTGTTAGTGATCCTAAGTTAAGATCCTGTTCAACTGCCATCTCTTTCATGAAGTCATCCTGTTCTAACCCCTTCCCTTCTTCACAAGGACATCTTGGGGAGTTCACAAGGAATGACTTTTAAGTGCATCCTCTATCCTGTCTCTGTGGTCTGTTTTTGTACGCTTTTTATGCATTCACCCTTCCTTGCTTATAATATTGCATTGCATACGAGCATACATCTGTATAAAGCTTCCCCAACCCTTAGCATAGAGTCTGATACAGACTAATTACATCAAAAATAACCATTGAAAGTTGAATTAATGGTTTAATTAGGTCAGTGCTTCTCAATGCCAGTTGCATTTTTTAATCACCTACTGAAAATTTAAGAAATCTTAATTCCAAAGTCCCAGAAATTCTGATTTTATTGATCTAGGATGGGAACAGACTTTTTTATTTTAAGCTCCTAAGGACTGAGAACTCCTAGATTAGGTTCTTTGTTTCAATAGTGGTTCTCAAAGTTTAGGATTCTAGACCAGCGACACCAGCACTTCCCAGAAACTTGCTACAAATGCAGATTCTTGGTCCCCACACCAGGCCTAGTGAATGAGAAACTCTGGGGGAGGGCCTCTGTATTTTCAAGGCCTCCAGATGATCTTGATGCATGCTAGAGTTTGAGAACTACTTTTGCTAGAGTTTAAGACCAAAAAAAAGTTGTCCTTAAATAAAATACCAACTGTGAGAAACCAAATATACTTTATAATCATCCCAAAAGGTTGTACCAATTTAAAGCACCACTCTAAATAAATGAGAGTACCTCACAAGCACAACAGAATTATCCTTGTGGAAATAAGCATCCCAGCATTTTATAACTTTTTTCAATATGTATTTTTGGTTAGTTTCCTATATGTAAAAGGCTCTCCAATGAAGGGATTAATTTTCATAATAATCTAAATAGGCTATATTAGTCGGGAAGAGCACATGAAAAATCTGGCATTGGATAAGGAAGCCTCAGAGTCAAGAATACCTTTCCATAATTTCCTCTCATAGAGAAAAGCCTTTTTTTGACAGTAACATTTTCTCCTTCTTTCATTTGTGCTGTTTGACTACGTGCCACTTGATAGCTCTGTCTATTCCTATGGAAACCAAGTTAGTGGATGGAGCCAAGGGTTGGAGAAGGCATTGGGGGAAAATATTAGAAGAGTTCAGCCACAGAGCAACTAAAGATGTTGCCTTTCCCTCAGTCAAATCTTCTTTGAGAGCCAGAACCTATTTCAAGCCAGAGAGATGTTCTTGGCTGATGTATTGTCTAGCTGCTCTGCCAGATGGATGAACATCTTAAACTTGGAAAATAGCAAATAAAGCTCCTATTCTGTCTTTGGAGCACATTCTTAGCCTTTGCTTAGAGAATTATCAAATAACTAAAAAATATATTTTTAAAGGTTCGCTTAAGATGGCAGGTTAGTGATGTGGTTCTCATCATATTTGTTAAGTACTTAGAAATTTTAGCAATGAAACACAGAATTAAGCCTTGTCAATCAGAAGTTTAAGTAAAGAGGAAGAATGCCAGTCACTGGAAAAAGCAATGCAGATTTCGTTTCATTTCTGTAGCTCAGTGAATTTATGTCTTTCATGAGTTCATTGCTGTAATTGTTTGCTTCCCTATAAAATCACTTTAAAGACTAAGAAACCAGAGTACAAACAGACATCTAAATCAACTGAGATAAGAAAATTATCTAAGCATACAAGAAGGCACTCTCCTTCCTAATCCATTTCTACTCCACATTTTATATGGCAGTGGTAACTAACTCATGATCGCATTGTACTGAGCCATTTATGTGGATATTTATATTATGTTTGTATTTCAAGAAGGGTGTAGAGATTCGTATTTCCAGTTTATATTCTTTGATTTATGTCACAAAATTAATGTCTTCTGAGAAAACAATTGAGGCAACTATTAATATAGATGCCTCATAAATCTATATCTTGAATCTAGCCATCTCTTCTAATCTTCAGATCTATATATATCTGCTCCCTACTCCCAACCTTTTCTTTTTGCTAGACCTCTCTGCATAGATTCCCTTCAGGTGCCTCAAACTCCACTTTAGGAAAAAAAAAAAAAAAAAACAGAACTCAAAAATTTTCATCCCTAACCCTATTTTTTCTTCCATCTCTTCAATTGTTGGCAACACTCTCCATCTGGTAGCCATTCAGGAATCTTATGTATTTCACTGATCTGTTCCCTTATTTCTATTTAACTCTCAACATTTCTATTGTGGATTGCTGTAATAACCCCCTTACTGCTCTGCTTGGCCTAAAGATTTGTTCCCCTCAAATCAGTGCTTCACATAACCTCCAGCGTCTTTTCTAAAAACCCAAATCAAGTCATGTCATTTCCATCATAAATCTTCCTTTTTCCTGTCTTAATTTGCTTGGGCTTCTATAACAAAAATACTTTAGACTGGATAGCTGGAACAACAGACATTTATTTCTCACAGTTCTGGAGGCTGGAGAGTCCAAGATCAAGGCACCAGCAGATTCTGTGTCTTGTGAGGGCCTGCTTCCTGCTTCATAGATGGCTGTCTACTTGCTGTATCCTCATATGACAGAAGGGAGTGAAAGAGCTCTCTGAGGTTTCTTTTTAGGGGTACTAATCCCATTTATGAGCTCCACCCTCGTGATGTAATCATCTTCCAAATGTCCTGTATCCTAATACCATAACATTGACAGTTAGAATTTCAACACATGAATTGGTGGGGTGGGGGTTGAGGGGACATATATTCAGTCTATAGCACTCCTTTTCACCAATATGATCAACTTTAGGCTCCTTATCATAACATATTAGACTATCCATTTTATAACCCCTGCTCACCTCTCCGATCTTACTTTTTACTTCTTACAGTGCATTTCTTTTCTTTTTTCTTTTTTTGAATTAGAGAAAGGGTCTCACTATGTGACTCAGGCTGGTTTCTAACTCCTGGGCTCAAGCAATCTGCCCACCTCGGCCTCCCAGAGTGCTGGGATACAGGCATGAGCCACCATACCTGGCCTTTACAATGCATTTCATATTACAATGATATTGAATTATTTGCAGAGTTTGAGGTGTGATTTTACCCTAAATATAAGCTAAGAAGTTAGTCTGTTACTGTTTCATGGATGCTGACAATAGATATGAGACTCTGGGGTCAGAGACAAAGTTGTTTATTACTCACAACACAGCAAAAAGAATGAGCACCACCTCTATGCTTCCCTTGCCCCCAGAGAACATGTGGAAGTTGCAGAGGCTGCACACAGTGGGTTTTATTCACAAACGAGGAACACCAAGCTTCAGGAATCTGCCACTTTTATAGTAAGCACTTAGTAAACCCAGAGGAAGACATTATCTCCTCTCTCCAGTTGCTTGTTGCAAACACAACCCTGAAAAATTACCTAATTAAAGAGTGGCCAAGACTTTGCATTCTTGGCATACCCAGTAAGAACATTTAGGAATGCTTCAGGCCCATGGTAGATTGACTCTTCCAACAACTCACCGCTCAGCCCAGCATTGTCTTGACATGAGTATGCCACTACATCAGCTACTCTTATTAATCTTACCAAGAGAGACAAGGACCATCACTTTAATTTGTCTCATACAGCACTTAACAAGACTCCAAGTAGCAGGATAAAAACATCCTGTAATACTGGCTTCAACTATGTCCCTCAGTATCTTGGACTAAATCAACTGTGAATAAGCCCCAGAGGAGAAAGTAGATCTTACTTTATACAACTAGGATGTAATCTAAGGCTGGTCTATTATTTATTGTGACCCATGCAAGGGAATTTAGACTGACATGCTAATCTTTGGCCTCACTGCAGATAGTTACAGGAGGTGCTATATTACAGGGGCCAAAAAGCAACCCCCAAACTCAAAGGTGGAATATACCATGGCCTACTCTTTCCTACATACAAACATACAGCCTGAAGAGGCACAATTCACTTTATTTCAGGATTTGACATTAAACTCGGATCACCATTACATTGATTTGTCTAAGCCACATGGGCAATATCACCAATAGTTGTTGCTTCAGTTGCCATATATGGCATAATCCAAAGCTTCTTGCATGTCAGAAGAAGCGTATGGATTTGTATACATCAGGTTAAAATAAGGTTGTGCCAGTCCCTCTACTTCCATGTATACAAGAGGGTCCACATTCAGGAGCTGTCATTGATGGTATCAAGCACAACAAAAGAATTAAGAACCACCAATGCCCATGTGAATTTTTCTGTTTCATAGCAAGCACATGGTCAGAGATGACACAGAAGCAGGTCAGATGGCTGGCCTCAGCTGCTGTTTGATTCAGGTAGCTAACTATATCTTTGTTTTGCCAGGGTGCACTTGTGGATCCAGAGGACAAAGAAAGTATTAATTGTCCTCCCCATCCCTGTACCTCTGAGGTCTCACATGTTCCCTTCCTAGGGAATGAAGTTGCTGCTTTCCTTCTTTGGCCATAGAGTTAATGTGTCCCGTTCCCTTAGATATAACTTCACCTTTTCTCCAACTGCCCTTACTTGCGCCCATACCTTGTAGAAGGATAAGAGTGCATATGGGACAAATGTAGAAACCTATTATGTCTTCCATTTTGGCCTACGTGGACCACTGTAGAAGGACTCAGTGAGCAGGGTATTCAATCAGATGGTCATTATGGATATTTATGATCTGGGACCATATCAGTTGAACAAAATGAATCCAGGTGGGTAAACCAGAATTAGGCTTGAATCTCTAAGCCCCCTTTTGGCTGGCTGCCACTCAAGGGATATATGAAACAAACCAGCCTAAGATTGCTTTTGGGAAAATGAAAGAAGCATGATAACCAGGGTTGGGCCAGGTAGAATCCCAAATTTTCAAAATAGATGTATATAATCCCCCACTCCTTTTGTCCTGATTATTTCCCAGGAGGCTACAAGGATGAAATGAACCCTTTCTGAAGGTGGCCACAGTTAGTAAGCAAACTGCTTCATACAAGAGTGTTGGACCAGGAGGAGGTATGAGAGGTGGAACCAGAAATCTTTTTGAGTTGATTTTCAAGAAGACCATTCCAAGCTCTCAACAATTCCAAATACCTGAGGATGGTAGGGAGCATGGAATGTCCGTTAAATACGTAACTATTGGCTCATTGTTAGGCATATCATGGTCAGACTATAGAAGATCTAGGAACCCCAAAACATGGTCCTCAGTGCTATAGCTTGAATAGGCTAATCAGACTGGAGCAGTGACTCCATGTGGTGGAACAGCAACACCATAACCTGAAAAATGTCTATGGTGGAAAGGCACGAGGTGAGCCCAAGAGGAGGTGACAGAGGTCCCTGCTGGGAAGGGGCAAGGGCAATCCTCCATGTAATGTGGACTCCTTCACCACAAGAAAACTAGGCCAACTTAGCAAGATACATAAGTCTGGTATGCAGTAGTATCTTCTGTATGAAAAACATACCTTTTACTTTGTATCCAGTCTATTGTGGTGGATTCATTGCCTTTTCTAGTGCGATGATGGATCCTAGTGGCAAATTCCAGTGACCAGGCAATGCAGACTTGTTCAGCGACTTGATTCCAGTTGGTCTTATCAGAAAGCAGGCCCTTACTGTTACTGTAGGTATCTATGTGAGTGACCCAAAGTGTCTGATTGGCCACAATTTGTTTCTAGTTTGTGGCCCCAAACAGGAATATCTTTAATTTACCAACTGTAGTCTTCCAAGTGGCAGACTAGGTGACTACAGTGCTGTTAGCAGACCAAGAATCAGTAAAAATACGGCTAGTCTTTGGGAGTATTGCCTAAGGTAAGGGTGATGGCTTTTCATTTTGGCCCACTGGGCTAACTGGTCATTGTCCTCAGTCTCCTGGAGCTGTCGTTGAGGTTGGACAGCTACTGCCCGCTACTGGCCACCATCAGGTTTTAACTTAGCCAAAGCATCAGTAAACCAGGCCGAGGCATTTAAGGGACCATTAAGCAGCCAACAGCTTTGCTTCAGACAGTGGCCACCTCTATACCCAGTGCTTTGTCCTCACTGCCAAATAAGTCAGGCTGCAGCGGGAATCAGATACATAGAACAGATGACTCTGTCCTATTAGGCAAGGTTTTGCATTCACATTCACTTTTGAGCAGCTGCCCACTCATGTCTCAACCAAATGAACTTCTAATATTTTCAGCCCACCTAAAGTTCCATGTCAAATAGCAAGATCTTCATTGTTCTCTGCATTTGTTTCTGTTTTGGAGATTTCTTGACCCAGCAGCCACGACCACATGGTCTTTCAGCTTGCTGCCCCCACGGTCATGTACTATTCCTTCTTTTGCCTGCCCAGAGGAAGGTGAGCAAAGACAAAGGCAGTATTTGGGTGGCTTGCTTTAATTCCACCTCTCACCATTCAGATTCATTAACAGAGAGAATATTGGGGTCACTTGCCCCTTAACCTTGCCCACCACCTGGGCATGGTCTCAGGGGGTCTTCTCATCCTTGAACCTGAGTATACCTGAGAATGGGCCTCTAGGGTTCTTGTCCTTACTCCTCAAGAAAACTGTGTCTCTCCAGCCAGGTGCAGTGGCTCATGCCTGTAATCCCAGCACTTTGAGAGGCCGAGGTGAGTAGATCACTTGAGGTCAGGAGTTCGTGACCAGCCTGGCCAACATGGTGAAACCCCATCTCTACTAAAAATACAAAAATTAGCCAGGTGTGAGGGCACACACCTATAATCACAGCTACTTAGGAGGCTGAGGCACAAGAATTGCTTGAACCCGGGAGGCAGAGGTTGCAGTGAGCCGAGATCGTGCCACTGCACTCCAGCCTGGGCAACAGAATGAGACTCTGTCTCAAAAAAAAAAAAAAAAAAGAAAAAAGAAAAGAAAAAAGAAAGGAAAACTATGTCCCTGTCAGCATCCTATCATCTTTTACTGTCTTGTCAGTTCTGGCATTTAATTAACCCTATTTACAAGGTAATAAGTTAGCTGCAGATGCTGGCAGAGGACACAAGACTCCCATCAGAGACAAAAAGTATTATTACTAATGGCATAGCTAGGAGTACTTATCTGTTTGCACCAGTTTCCCTCCCCCCAAGGATTATGGGGGCAATATAGAGGACTCGGATGGGCCCAGCACACAGTGGGTTTGCATGACATCTAAAGGCTGCTAAATTTTGGGAATCTCCAGCTTTTAGTAAATAGAGTAGTAAGCAAGCCTGCTTCTTCTTTGCCCCAGTGGGTGACATTACCTCATCACTCAAGATTGCTCACTCCAAACCCCACTCTGAAAAATGGTCCCAGTAAAGAGGAGTCAAGCTTTTGCATTATTGGCATACCCAGTTAGTACGTTCAGGGACACTCAAGGCTCAGGGCAGATTGCCTCTCCCAACACTATTGTGGTATTTCCAAAACTCATTTGTGTCTGCAACCACTACAGAAAAGTTTGATATAATGAAATTACTGATATTTGTGACCTATATACTTCCTAGGGATAGTAATTGTTTTTAAAAATTAATACAGTAAATGTCTTAAGAGTTTATAAATACATAATTATATAGCTATCATTAGAATTAATAACAAATCATGTTTCTATTTTTCCATTTCAATTTTTAAGTAATGTATTTTGGGTATATAATATAGTTAGGATTTAAAATGAACTATGACAGAGTACCTACTTTAAATTTGTGTGTGCTATTACAAATATAGTTATTTTTCTAGGCCAAAATTATATACCAATTTGTAAATGAACAAAAAAATATGGTGAACATTTGTATACATAGTGAGCATTTGTTTTTCTCTCCAAGTACAGTGACAGAAAATATAAGCACTGGGGACACAGAGAGAACAAGAATGCAAAGAAATTAATTGGAAAACATGTAGGTCTCAAAGTATTGGTTTTGGGAAAACATCTGGCCTCTTCAGTACTCCAGTGGGGAGAGAGGTCACTGTAGACAGTTTTAGTCAAGTCTTGGGCATTGAAATCTGCTAAAGTAATTATCTCAGCTGAAGAGGAAGCAAATAGCAAAGGCCCCAGGGAGACAGATATAGAAAATATGGTAGCCATTTTGGGAAAAAATGTAGAGGTGGGTTCCAGAATATTTTGAGGATCAGCTGCCAATTGTCTAGAAGTTAATAATAAAAGCACTTACTGGGAATAAACAGCAGTCCTGTAGAATATGATTTCGGAATAGGGTTCAGGAAGATGCCTCCTTCCTTTTCACTGATTAAAAGGTGGTCATTTTTGTGCAAAGGGCAAGAAAATTCTTAGAATTTTGGAATATTCTTTGCCTCACTATGAGGCTACAACCTTAGAGGAGGCTGTTTGTCTAGAGAAATGGCAGAAACAAGACACCATCCAAGCCTCAGGTCAGGAAGCTACTCACTAGCTCACTGATAGTAATTGTGACATCCCTAATATCACTGGAGATAGGGCTCCAGGAGATCTGTGTAAGACCAGATTGTTATAATGGACTAGGAGCTGGGTGGAAGATGCTGTGTGTATCAACAAGGAGAAAAAAGGAAAACAAAGCAAACAAATGAAAAGCAAAAATGAACCTGCAGACACAATTTCAAAATATTTGAAGAAATCTAATGCTAACAAAGCAAACAATATTATTCAGATTATGAATTCATTGCTAGTAGGAGAGCATAAAGAAAGCAAAAAGATAAGCCACACAGAGAAAATATTTGCAAAACCAACCAAGAATTAGTATCCAGAATACATAAAGAACTCCTGTAGATCAGTAAGAAAAAAACAAATAGCCGGCTGGGCACGGTGGCTCAAGCCTGTAATCCCAGCACTTTGGGAGGCTGAGACGGGCGGATCACAAGGTCAGGAGATCGAGACCATCCTGGCTAACACAGTGAAACCCCGTCTCTACTAAAAAAATACAAAAAACTAGCCGGGCAAGGTGGCGGGCGCCTGTAGTCCCAGCTACTTGGGAGGCTGAGGCAGGAGAATGGTGTAAACCCGGGAGGCGGAGCTTGCAGTGAGCTGACATCCGGCCACCGCACTCCAGTCCAGGAGACAGAGCGAGACTCCGTCTCAAAAAAAAAAAAAACAACAAATAGCCAAGTTCAGAAATGAGTTACAACACAAGAAGGCTATTTATAAAAGAAACAAATATCCAACAAACATGTAAAAACGTTCCACCTCAATTCGGGAAATGCACATCAAAACCCAACTGTAAGCCAGGCACAGAGTGGTGCACACCTGTAGCCCCAGCTACTTGAGAGGCTGAGGTGGTAGGATCGCTTGAGCCCAAGAGTTGAGTCCAGCCTGGGCAAGCTATAGCAAGACCCCTTCTATTAAAAAACAAAACAAAAAACTATAACCATCAGATTGGCAAAAATTAGCAAGTCTGACAAAACAAAGTATGCTGAGGATGTGGAGAAACAGGAACTCATACATTATTGTTACGAATGTTAACTTGGAGTAGCTATTTTAGAGAGCAATCTCAACCCAGAAGTTTCAGAAATTCTTATGTACTTACCAGGAGATATGTATGAGGATATTCATTACAATATTGTTTGTAATTGTGAAAAATGAGAAACATGCTAAATATTCCTCTATAAAAGAATAAATATATTATTTTCATGTGATAGCATACTTATTCCAGTGAAAATGTATGGACCCAGGCAACATGAATAAATCTGAAAAATACTGCCTTGAGTAAAAAATGACACGATTCTTGCAATACCATTTATACAAAGATTGAAAACATGTAAAACAATACTATGTCATTTATGGATATATATATGTTTATATGAAATAGAAGTGGAAAAACATTCATTGGAATGATAAACACCCAATTCAGGATAGTAGTCTCCAAAGAGGGAGAGAAGGTAATGGAATTGGGGACACAAAAGAAGTATTAACTTTATCTGTTAGGTTTTATTACTTAAAAATGAAAAATCTAAAGCAAAATACCAAAATACTTTGCTGAAAATCTCCGTATCATTGTTATTACCATTAAATAACTATGCTTTTTTTTTTAAAAAAAAAAAAAGGAGTTCGTCTTAAGAGAACTGGGC